TTGAAGTGCCATGTATTCGGCGGACATGGCTTGACGCCATTGTTGATGTTTTGCTGCTTGTGCATAGGAAGTGGGAGTAGTGGATAGAGTGACGGAGAGATCCAGAATTTGTTTTAGCCGTGAGATCCCAGACTTAAGTCGTGTTTGCTTTGGGTGTTTGGAATTTTGATGTTGGATTTGAGTGATAGGAGCTGGAGAGTTGTGAGAAGTGTGAGTTGTCTGATTGGTGGATTGGCTCTGAGATGGAGATGGTATTGTTTTGTGATTGATCGGGTTGAAGGAATTGTCAGAGGGTGTGGATGTAGGAAAGTGTGGAGGTGTAGTGATGGTAGACGTGGGAACGAGGAGAAGACGTGAATAATTGAATGATTGGGTTGTGGGTGCCATGGGTTGATATGTTATTGAGCTTTGATGGAATGAGAATTGATTTTCTTAGAAAACAACGTGGCGGGAAATGTAAATGAGTTTGGTTGTTGGGTTGTAGCAGCGATATCCCTTGTGGAGGGAGGAATAACCGAGAAATACGCATCCTTGCGATCTGGGAGATAACTTGGTGGGAGCTTGATGTCGAAGATGCGAAGATGATGGTAGTTGGGTGGTTGATTGTGTAGTCTTTGATAGGGCGTGTTGAGAGATATAGTTTTGGATGGCAGACGATTGATTAGGTAATTCTCGGCTGAGACGGCCTCGGTCCAGAATTGGTGAGGCATATTGGCTTCATGAAGGAGAGTCCTAGTCATATCCATAAGGTGACGGTGTTTGCGCTCAACGATGCCATTTTGTTCAGGGGTGTGAAGACAGCTCATGTGATGGGTAATGCCATGTTGGAGCAGATAATTGCGGAAGGATGTGCTAGTGAATTCCGCTGCCATCCGATCGGAACGTTTGAATAGTACTGTTAAATTTATTTTTAATTAAGGCAGAAGTGTTGAAATTTGGAGAATGTTTCTTGTTTTCATGTCATGAGATACAACCACGAGAACCGTGTGTAGTCGTCAATGAATATTACGTAATATTTGAAGCCATGTAGGGAGGGTAGCGAAGCTGGCCCTCATACATCGGAGTGCACTAATTGAAAAATCTTATTACAGGAAGATGTGCTTGTAGGAAAAGATAATTTGTGAATTTTTGCCACATTACAAGATTTGCAAGAATGTAAAGAAATGAAGGAGGAAGAGTTCTTTAACTCGGGAATTTGTTTAGATAAAAATGCGAGCAGACGAGCATGCAGATGTCCTAGCCGTGCGTTCCAGTGAGAAATGGAAGCCGTGGAGGTGCAGAGAGCTGTTTCTTGAGCTGGTTGTGAGTACGAATAGTGTATAGGTTGTCAAGATTGCGACCCCGTATAAGGGGTTGATTTTCCTGCATATCCTTGATAACAAATCCATGAGCATCGAAAGAAACATAAACATTGTTATCGGATGTTAGTTTCGAAATTGAAACAAGATTGTGTGATAAGGATGGGATGTGAAGAAGGTTTCTTAGGTGAAGCTTATGTGATGATTCCGGAAGCGGTGAGAGCCCTTGACGGGTGTGTTGAATCGGAATGTTGTTGTCGTTTGCTATGGAAACGGAGTCGAGACCGTTGTATACGGTGGGATTTTGGAGGTTTGAAGCGTCGGAGGTTAAGTGAGAAGTAGCTCCCGAGTCCAGTACCCAATCAGGCGTGGAAGTTGCTGGTTGATACGCTAGAGGTGTCCGGGAAGCATGAGCAGAGGTGGGCGCGTATTTGGGATTGCATCTGTGCCAACAGTTAATCACGGAGTGGCCAGTTTTGTTGCAGATTTGGCAGGTGGGGCGGGTTGCCGAGGGAGATGATCCGGAGGGTAATGCTTGAGAGTTGGGTGTTTGTCTGTGGTTGGATCCGCGGGCTGGATTTCTATTTCAACGACCACTATTGAAGCTATTGTGGGCGGAGAATAGAGCGACTGTGTCGGAGGGAGTTTCCAAATCTCTTGATTGTTCATAATGAATATTGATTTCTTCGCTGCAAAGTAAAGAATATAGAACGTCTAAATGGATGGGGTTTAAAGAAGTTCTTATCGTTGTCTTGAACGAATTGTAGCTGCTTGGGAGTCCATTCAGAATGTATAAGATTATGTCCTCTGTATCGATTGTGGATCTTGCTGCGGCGATGTTGTCGACGAGGATCTTGATTTGAGAAAGATATTGATGTATTGTTTGATCTTCATTTGGATATGATGCAACTCGTTCTTGAGCCAGATTACGCGTGACCTACTGGTGGGTTGAAGTCGGTATTCCAGCGTTGCCTAGACGTCATGGGTGGAGGTGAGTGAGAGGACATATGGTGGAACTGATGGGGAAATTGTGGACAAGATCACTGACAGAAGGTTGCGATCGATCAAGTTCCACAGTTTAAATTTGGCTTCAGAGTCTTCGGATGGGCGAATGGCGATGCCGGTTAGATGATCATGAAAATCATTTGCGGAGAAGTGTTGAAGAAGTTGGAGACGCCAAATGACGTAGTTGTCGTTCGTAAGGATCGTTGGAACAAGATTCTTTAGATTATAAACCAAGAACTTCAAGGGGGCGGGAATTGTGAGTTCATTGGGTGAAGGGGAAGAGAGATTAGTCGGTGTTGAGGGAGATATCGCCGAGCCTTGATCTGCCTTAAGGAGTCAAGAGGGGACGAAGAACGAACGGAGGGAGCCTTGCTCTGATACCATGAAAGAGCTTAGTCTCGGTGGAGATAAGCTCAGGAGAAAGAAAGAAGAAACACGCAGAGAATGTAAAAGTAAAGTAATGAATTCATTTCATACGGAGAGATGATACATGTATTTATAGACACTAGATAGCACAGGTGGTTAACAAGAATCAAGAACAAGATAAAGTAAAAGACGGACACTTTAACTAAGTTGTGACACTATTAACGAATAGAGATTATGAGGAATGTGAGCAATCTTGTGCCGATGGGAGCCTCCACCCTCTCGATAGCGCTCCTTTATCCCTGGATGACATCCCCAAATTTCTAGGCGTTCCAAAAAGGGAGGAAGGTTCGGTACTTCCCGAAGCATAGGAACTTTTGAAATATGTAGTTTCTGAAGTGAAGATAAGCTTTCCAAGGAGGAAGGGAGAAACTCTACGGACGCGAGATACATAAAGTTCAGCTCAGAAAGAGATGAACTAACTTTTAGAAACCACTGCTCCCCTCATTTGGAAATGAAACCACCTCATCATTCCACGAAATAATCAGCTTTTGTAAGGAGACGATACTTCTCAATGGCTCCATTAGCAACACCGATGGATCACTTATCCAGAGATTACTGAGCATGAGAGGGCAACTCTTTCAACTTCGGGCAGTCAAATAGCTCGAGTTCAATGAAGCAAGGAAGCAAACATCCATCTTCAGCAGCTACTCCTGCCTCAAATAAATCCTCTAATGCTTCTAATTTCTTAATACGTAAAACCTCCAGCAATGGAAAGGCATGGTATTTATCATTTCCATTAAATTTACTTTCGATCCATTTTACTTTCGGCATGTTAGAAAGTGTCATTGACTTGAGGAAGGGAAGTTGCCCAAAAGGTGGAAGAGTTTCACACTCCAAGCAATCTGTCAAATAGATTTTCTCTAGATTGAAGATCGGATTGACATTGTTCATCCATATTGCAGACCTTGCACCCATGCATCTCTTTATGCTCAAATTCCTTAGATATTTTGGTGGGTGAAGGTTGTCGAGTATGTTCTCATCCAAATCGGTGCTCCTCAAATCAGTGTTACTCCAACATAAGGTTAAATCTGTGAGCCTCCCCTTGGCACATAATTTGGCACTAGAAGCCTCCTCGGCATCCTTAATATTTTCAAGGCGATTGATTCCTAATTTGCAAAGTTCATTCATATTCTCCAACTCCCCAATTCTATAACCACTCACATCTCTAAGATCAAACATATGCAGTTCTTGAAGAGACTTTAGCTTCCCAATCCCACATATCGATGAAACATAATTCTCAGACATTTTCAAGTAACGCAAGTTAGAGAGATTATTAATGTCACTTGGTAAAAAAACATCACCTTTAGATTGGTGTAGCCCATCATAGATTCTGTATTGCAAGTGATAGAGATTACTTAGAGATCTTGGCAGCATAGTCAAATTTTAATCATTAATATTTAAGTATCGAAGATGTATTAAATTTTCAATCTCCTCAAGTATCATTTCCAAGCTTGGAGCATATAGTTGTGATAAGTCTATGCTTTCCAAGCGAGGAGCAGATACGTATAATAAGCGTAGGCTTCCCGATGCTTTAAATATTTCAATAAGTGCACTACAAAGATCTTGATTAGAAGCTTCATAGAGCAAGAAAAGAGAATGCAAATATTTAAACTCCCCAATATTTTTTATGATGTATGGATTTGGAGTTTCAAAGAGTCTTAGGAATTATAAAAGGCAACTTTGTACCATCCTCAACTCTTAAACATTCATGTATGGAAACTGATTGTGCCAATTCATGTATTAAATCATGCATCTTGTAGTATCGTCCATCTAGAAACTTATCAAAGAAAGATTTTTTAATCAAAACATCAAAATACCTTCCTCCAATTTCCTCCATAGTCCATTCTTGATCATGAGGTTGCTGAATGAAACCCAATGCAATCCACATTTTGACTAAATCATCTTTATCAAAACAATGATCTTGTCGAAATATAGAACAAAATGCGAAACAATTTTGTAGATGTTTTGGGAGGAACATATAGCTCAATTTTAAAATGAGAAAGATGTCATTGTGGCCCAATTCTGCACTTACAAAACCACTACTTAAAACATTTGTCCAATGCCTTTCATCCAAGTTGCCATTCAGAACGCCACCAATGACTTTAGCTGCCAATGGAGATCCTAAAAGCTTTTTAACAATCTCTCCATCAATGGCTCTTAATTTCTTATGATCATCAGGGGGTTCTCTACACCAGCAAATGCATGAGAGTTGAGGAGCTGCAAACACTCATCCTCCTTCAAGCCCTCTAATCTAAATATTTTCTCTCTCTCTTTAATGATCTTTGCAATCTTCATTGCAACTGAGTCCATTCGAGTTGTCACCAAAATCCTGCTACCAAATTTCCCATAAGCTAGAGGAGCGAGCACATCCTCCCATTTGCTGATATCGCGGTTCTCCTCCTCCTCCTCCCAAATGTCATCCAGAATAAGTAAGAACTTCTTGGACATAATCTCAGTCCGAAAACTAATTTGAAGTGCATCAAGTGTGTCGTCCAAACGAGGCCTCTCCTTCTTAAGAGTTGATAACATATCAGCAATGACTTTTTTCACATCAAAGTTGTTGGAAGCACAAACCCACATTTTAAGATCAAAAAATTCCTTTGTCATTTCATCTTCATAGACATGTTGCAAGAGAGTTTGTCTTTCCCATACCACCATGCCCCACTATAGATAGAAGAGAAATGTTTCTGTGCAAATCAGTTCCCCGATGCTCATTTGATGGCTTCCTAAGCCACTCCATAACAAGCTCCTTATCCTTGTCCCGCCCAATGAGATCATTTTTAGGCAAAGATCCAGTTTCACGTGTTTTGTAGAAATCAACCTCCTGCTCCTTCTGTTCCTGCTTCGCGCTGTCTAAAAGATGAAGGAAATTAGTAACATCAGCCGAAACTTTATCAAGTTTCTGCACAGCCTTCTCCAGTCGCTTCAAGTTGGGATCAATTTTGAGAACACGTTCGCCAACTTTGAGAATTTTACGGGCACTTTCAAATAGAAAGCTCGTGAACTTTCTTTTCTGATCATATTAGTTAGAAATAGATTATCAAATGAATAAATAAATATATATATTTGTGAGTAGAATCAAATAGGAAGCTCGCGGTGGCGGAACGCACCTTTGTTTCATCCGTGTTTTTGGGGAGCTGTTGTTTAAGCTTCATGTACTCCAACTCATCGAGCACATCATCTGCCTCATCAATAGCATCTCGCAGCTGCCATATCCATTTGTTGAGAGCTGGATCGCTGATTTGTGCTTGGTTAGCAACAAAGACGACAGCTTGCATCTTGGGGTGGTTCTCTCGCAGCCTTTCAAGTTCCTCCTTCATGCCTGTCTGCCATCTGAATTGATCTTTAAGCTAATCTTTACTGTAATCCTCATGGTAATCAGAGCAAGTGTTGATGATCTTTTCCATGATTGGACCAACACAAAATCCCTCAATCGCAGCGGCGATTGAGGTAGAGAGAGCAGAACAACTGAACAGTAGGAGAAACAGAGATCGGAATAGAGAAAGAATTTAAGCAGCAAATGGCCACGTCCAGCCTAAGTCTAGTAAACGGAGAATAAGCGAGAGAGAAGACGAAGCTGCCGCGTAGTCGTAACTTGACGACTGAAAGTCTCCATTTTAAAATAAAAATAAGAAAATGTATGTATTTTAAAATAAATTAGAAGTTTTTTTTAAATGGTTCTTGATAATGAGTTCTTCTGCTCCAGCAGTCATTTTATTCATAACATATTTGATGCAGCTCTTCCCTGCAATTAAGAAGGAACCTGCAGCAATAAAATAGTAAAGAACAAACAGGATAACTAAAACGACGAGTATATTGATATCTACCGTCCTTCTCCCTAAAATAAAGCTTATAACAGCTAACATCTCGAAAAATAGCTGCTAAAATTAATATTATACTAGAAAATACTAGATAATAAGATGCCTAATATAAAAAAGGTAAAAAACGGTTAGCTAAGTGGGCAATGCAACAGCAACAGGAAATAAGCACGGCTCAGCTCATTGTGGCCCCCATCAGGTCTCCCCTGCTTCAGAAGAACTCAACTCCGATGAGTTAGTTGTCGTGATGGCGCCGTCTCTAGGATGATAGGGATAGATGTCCGCAACATTAAATGTGGCAGAGGTTGAAATGTCCTTGGGAAGATCAATGATATAACAATTATCATTGATCTTGTGCAATACATGAAACGGATCGAACTTCTTGGGATGTAGCTTTGGACACGAACCCGAGGGAAATTTATCCTTGCGATACCTCAGCATAACCAGATCTCCCGGATTATATTCAATGTGCCTACGATGTTTGTCCTTGTCGCTCTTATATTTCAAATTGTTGTCCAGCAATCGGTCATGAACATCTTTAAGCACCTCCGTAAATTGTTCGGCAGTTTGAGCAGCGGACGAGCTCCAACACTTAGGAAGGACGACCAAATCTACAATATGGTTAGGCATTTTTGTATTACCTTTGCTGAATGGACATTTACTAGTGGAGCGGTTCGAAATTGAATTTAAAACAAATTTAGCCTGTCCCAAAACTTCTTCCCATTGTTTCGGGTTCTCTTGGACTAAACATCTCAGCATGCTAGCAAGTGTCATATTGGTAACTTCAGTTTGGCCGTCAATTTGGGGGTGGTAGGCCGAGATCATCTTCAGATCAGTTTGGAATCTTTTCCAAAGCTCCCGCCAAAAATGGCTAATGAACTTAACATCCAGGTCTGATGTTAGGCTGCGAGGAATACCATGTAAGCGCACAACCTCTTTGAAGAAGAGTTTGGCAAAGTTGAGAGTGTCGAACGTTTTCTTGCACGGAATGAATTAATGGGACATCTTTGAAAATCTATCAACTACTACAATTATGGAATCTGACCCCCTCTTAGTCCGAGGCAAATCTAAAACGAAGTCAAGACTGAGGTCTTCCCAAATCGAATCGAGCACAGGTAACTGCAAATACAAGCCAGTGTTCTGTGCTGGGCCTTTATAACGTTGTCATACAGCGCAACGTTCCACAAACCTTGTGATATCTCTTCTCATGTGTGGCCAAAAAAACTTAGATTGAAGTTGTTGTATTGTGCGATCCCTTCTGACATGAGCTGCTAGTCCTCCACAATGCATTTCTTTTATGAGTTGTTGGCGCCATGATGACACCGGAACACACAGAGAATTTCCCTTAAAAAGGAACCCATGCATAATAGAAAAACTAGCCTTCGGTGTACAAAGGCAACACTCCTCCCAAACTGTAGAAAAATCGGAATCGGTAGCATAAAATGCCTTCATTTCCTCTAACCCCGTAACTTTAGTTTGAAGTTGAGTGAGAAGAGCAGCCCGGAGACTAAGTGCATCTGCTACTCGATTCATCTTGTCTATTTTGTGTCGGACCACGAAACTGAATTTCTATAAGAAAATATCTCACCTTGCATGCATTTTATTGATAGTCTTCTAGCTGTTTAAATATTTTAATGACTGATGATCACTACACAATACAAAATCTTGATGCAAAAGATAGTGCTCCCATTGCTTCAGCACCCTTACTACAGCATAGAGTTTTTGTTCGTACACTGTCCATTTTTGGCTCGGTGGACTTAATTTTTTTTTTGCTATAGTATTCAATAGGTTTGTCTTCCTAATATAGAACAGCTCCAATACCGATCCCCGACGCGTCGGTGTCGACTTGGAAGGCCTTGTCAAAATTCGGCAATTCCAAAACTGGCGCATTGTAAAGAGCAGATTTCACCCTTTCGAAGCTGCTCTGTTGATGCGTGGACTAAGAAAAAGAAGCTCCTTTCAGAACATCCATAATCGGAGCCATAAGAACACTGAATATCTGTAAGAGAGCATGGAGTCCGCCAATCTTTGATGGCTGCTATTTTACGTGGATCAATTTGAATCCCCTCGTCAGAAATGATAAATCCCAGGAAATGCACTGAAGGAGTTGCGAACTCGCACTTTGGCAAGTTTAAATACAGTTTATGGGTTTGCAATGTTAAGAATAGTTGGGTAAGATGTTGCAGATGATCTTCTATGGAAGATCTATAAACAAGAATGTCATCGAAATAAGATACACAGAATTTACCGTCAAAAGGTTTGAGGACTTTGGCCATGACTCTCATAAATGTAGATGGGGCGTTGCATAAGCCAAATGGCATAACTCGCCATTCGTATAGTCCCTCCCGTGTCTTGAAAGCCGTCTTCCATTCATCGCCCGGCCTAATGCGGACTTGATGGAGTCCGCTACGTAAATCCAACTTTGAGAACACCATGGAACTGTGCAATTTATCAAGCAAATCAGAGATACTGGGCATGGAAAAATGGTATTTCGTAGTGATTTTATTGATTGCTTGGCTATCAATACATAATCTTCATTGTCCATCCTTTTTAGGAATAATGAGGGTAGGAACAGCACAAGGACTAAGATTGTGCTGGATTAGTTGCCGTTGGAGGAGATCTTCAATAACCTCTTACAAGACTTTGTGCTCCTTGGGACTCATACGATACTGCAGTAGATTCGGCAGTGAAGATCCGGGGACGAAGTCAATTTGGTGTTGTATTACACGGAGGGGCGGTAGCTGAGCCAGTAATTCGGATGGGCTGATGTTTGCAAATTTCTGAAGAAGGCTATGAATTGCATCTGGAATAGGGAGTATATCCGCAGGAATCACTCCGGCCGAGTTAAGCCAGAAGGGTAAATGCCCTCCTTACCTCCCGGCATTAGGGAGGGAACGTGGGGAGGCTGCCTAAATTTTCTATAAAATTGAAGACTTAGCCAAAATTTTGAAAGGCAATCATCGACAATCTCCGACAAACAATCATCGTCAATCAATGCTTTAGAAGATCGATTATGAGACCAAACAACATCCTGAAGCCCCTGGCCGTTAATTCACTCCGACTAGGCTGACCTTATAGGGCAAATGCCCTCCTTTCCTCCCAGCATCGGGGAGGGGACGTGGTTAGGTTGCTGAAATTTTTAGTGAACAATAAGGGACGTGGATAAAAGTTAAAAAAAAAACTATTTGAACATAATTTAAACATAAAATTAATTTTAAATCAAATTTGATCAAATAATGTTAAACTTGAACCGGGCAAATGAATCATTGTGGTAGATTTATCATGCTTACAACATGTCGCCTACACGTGGAAAGAAGGTTTGTAGTGCGAACACCACAATTCATCAATGGGCAAGAGCATTATGTCTTGAATGAAAATACTAAATGCCACTATACAATGATAAGTGACAATCACTTGTGGGACACGAAAGACTTCTAACACATGTCTGATAGGCAAAGAAAGAATGAAACAAATATGGCGACCCTCCTATAGTTGACACTACTCAATTTACAAATGTACACATCAAGCCTCTGCAAATAAAGAATTATGGTATATAACAAATGCAAACACCTGCTGTCACTAGTAGAGGATTTATTGTGAACTCAACAGCATGTCTACAATGGGTAATCAGTAACAAGCATCTAATGTTATAATTATCTTATAATCAATAAGAAGTTAATGACTGATAAATACATTCGTCCATTATAACTGAAAGTAGATAATATACAGAAGACGCATGTTCCTATGTGTTGTTGTAGAAGAATCCTATGCATCTAATGTATTATTTACATATAAAATATAACACACTACAATTCACCTATAAGTAGGAGCATGGAGCTCATAGTGCCCACAACAACTAACCTACAAACAAGGACAAGGGGCTTGTATCGAACAAATTAGACTACATATGGGATAGAATAGGGGAACTTGTAGTGAGCAAGATAATTCTCCTACAAACATGAGCACGATCTCCTAATTCCTATTGAGCAAATACTCTCTATGAGCTGTGCCAAATGACACTTAAAGGAATCAAAGTGAATAAATCAATATATATCTTGTATATGCAAAAACTAAAACCTAAAAAGTTGTAACGCCATCGAATCGGCAACATGTGTACAACCGGATAGAAGACATTCATAGGCCCTAAAAAGAAGTCTAAAAAATTTTCTAAATAAAAACACTCTTACAAATGGATCATATTCAAATATTTTAAAGTGCCCCTTATGTATTAAATATGATCCCTTAAACTAAAGTACAAACACCCTACATGTGCTCTAATTAACGTGTTAAAAATACAAACACCAATATCCGAGAATGCTATGCAGATCAAATGCTACCACCCTGCATATGCTCCGATCAACGTGTTAAAAGTATAAATATTAATATCCGAGAATGTTATGAAGGGTCAAATTATACCACCCTGCATGTGCTCTAGTCAATATGTTAAAGTTATAAATATAAATGGTAGAGAATGCTATGCAAGGTCAAATTCACATTAATATAATAATATATTTTCCAAATTAAACATCACCTGCATATGCTTCGAAGATGCGATAAATTTGCAAATGTCTGAATCCTGGCTTGAATGCCTAGAAGTTAAAGAGAAAAATGACTGAATATAGCCTTTCATTGACTACTTCAGAGAAAGGAAA